AAAAGAAAAAAAAAAAAAAATGAATTTTGAGTAGTACGTTTCCGTTTATGCTTATTTGTCGACGTGCCATTCTTATCTATTACATTGGGGGTGGCTCACTCATACATCGGGTATTGTTTTAATATATATATATATATATATAATTTTATTTTTCATTTTATGTATTTAACTTTATATGTGCTGCTTTCCTTTTTTTTTTTTTTTTTTTTTGGGGGGGGGGGTTTAATTAATTTTATTATTTAAAATTTTTTTTTTCTCTTTTCTTTCCCTTCGATTGTATAATAACTCATTGTGATAATTATTTTTTAAAAAAATGTTCGATTTAAGAAGAAAAAAAATTTTATAAGAAGGAAAGAAAGGAAAGGAAAAAAAAAAAAAAAGTTTAAAATGTATGACTCATTTATTTTTCACACTAAAGGAAATGAAATAAATATGTTAAATCTAGGTATAAAATGTTAATAAGAAGTTTGTACAGTGTTTTTTCTGTGGTCACCTTTCATTTTCAAGACATTTTTATAACGACATTTCAAAATAACGACACTGAAACATTTTTCTTTATTTTTTTTTTTTGTATTTAAAAATAGAAATATTTGAAAATTAGTTTTTGTATTTTCGATTTTGATTTTGTTTTTGTTTAAAATGTATTTCTGTCTTCTCGAATCATGAAGATTTTGGTATCTGTTATTAAAATAATTGTAAATTTTTGATGTCACACAATGTATTTATTTCGATGTTGGTAATACATGTTGCAATACGTGATCTCTTTCATTGAATTTGTTTTTATAATTAATTTTTTTAAATGAACACTTTAGGCATCACGATTGGTGATAAATTGTTTTCTTTCAGGGCACCAGAAGGCAAACCTATACGAATAATAATGGTAATGCAGGAACTGGTCAGCCCCAACCTCAGCAACCTCAGTCTCAACCTCAACCTCCACCACCGCAGCCTCATGCTCACCAGCAACAGCAATCTGTTAAAACTCAGAGAGCTCCAATGGAATCGATAACTCCGAATAATTTCAGAGCTCAGCAGCCTTGGCCTCCATCTCAGCAAGGACCAGTTCCTCAAACTTATGCTGCATCATTAAGATACCCATCACCTGCGCCCTATACTGCTCAGCAGTACAGTCAACATAATTCTGTAAGTATCACTCTCGACTACAAGTGGTAGTAGTAATAATAATAATAATAATAATAATAATAATATTAAATTTATGACACTTCATTTGGGAACTGTGGCATCATTCAATATTTTTTTCTTTTTTTAAAACTTAAATATTTATAATTGTGATCAATTTTGAAGGACAAGGTCATAAGAGCAAGGTTTTCACTTGTTTTTGTTGTAATCCAAAATATTTTGCAAAAAGAAAAAATTATTATTATTATTATTATTATTATTATTATTTTTTTTTTCACAAGTCTTAAGTAACTGATATCATCCATTATTATTATTATTATTATTATTTACTTCTACCGGACTCTCGTGTATTTCACTTATGGAAATATTTATTTATTTATTTTTAATTTTCGCTTTGACTCACTTTTGCTCATTACAAACCCGGAAATAATAATAATAATAATAATAATTATTATTATTTTTATATGTTTCTTCCTTGTGACTTATCAGCAGGCAGGCAGGCAGGCATCAAATACAAAAAAAAATTTATTTTTTCGGAAAAAAAAAAAAAAAAAGGAAAAACAGGAAAGAAAAGGAAAATCAGAACGTTTTAATTCAAATTTTTTCAAATTTTTATTATTATTATTATTATTATTATTATTATTTATTTTAAATTATAATTTTTTTTTTGTTATTTAAAGTTTTCAACGTGTCGACTAATACTACTGACATACATTATAATATCTTGCGTCATATATTTAAAAACAAAAAATAATTGTTATAAACAATTTATTTATTTTTGTTGTTGTTGTTGTTGTCAAGTTTAATGTAATAACGACGTTTATATTTTAAATTGCTTAATTTATTATTATTATTATTATAGTTTCAGGGTGATTAAAAATAAATATTTTTAATGTTTATATATATAAAAAAAAAAAAAAAAAAAATGTTTTTATGAAATTCGTCAAAGCCGACAATAAGTAAAAAAAAAAAAAAAAAAATCAACAACAACAAGAACAACAACAGGGTCAGTCAAACGATCGACGACATTTTGTTTAATTTTTTTTTTGTTAATAATTAATTTTTTTTATTTTATTTTATTTTTATAAACATATTGTAAAATTATTGTAAACGTCCTTCGTGATATTTATGTTAGTCAAGGAAAGGAAATTTCTATATCGTTTTTGCTGTTGTTTTCTTTTTTTAATTTAATAAAAAAAAGGAAAATTTGGAAAATGTGGAAAATTTTGGGATTTTCTTTTTTTTTTTTTTTTCCCACAAGTTTCTAGAAGATGGGTGTTATAAAAGAAAAAAAGATAATATTATTATTATTGATTTAAAAATTTATATACATAGTTATTATAAAAGTAATAAAATACCTATTTTGCCATAAAAAGACATTACACTGCTGCTGTGGAAAATTAATTTAGGGGAGATCGATCGATGATTGAACACACACACACACACACACACATGGTCAAATTTGAATTTTTTTTTTTAATGAAATTTAATAGTTTTTTTAATAATAATAATAATAATTTTTTTTGTTCAAGGTATTTTAAATTGTGATAAAAGCTTTAAATAAATAAATAAACAAGTTGAAACGGAGCAAACTCTTCTTGTTTGTTTGTTTGTTTCAAATTTATTATATCAAAAGGTTGTATAAATCCTCTCTCGTTCCCTGGAATGTCACAAGAATTTGTTAATCAAATTATTATTATTATTATTAGTAAGGAATAACAAATTTATATCATGTTAAAAGTAAATCGTATATTTTTAAAAAAAAAAAGTACGCCATGCACTTGTTTAAGTGACTTGTTTTATCAAAAAAAAAAGTTTTTTTTTTAAATTCAACAACAACAAGTACTACTTGTGTAACATCCAAGGACCGAGGAGCTCTTATTACATTTTTATTTACCACCAAGGATTTTGTTATTTGGCAATGTGCATTTAAGAATCAATGGATGTCCTGTGAATGCAATTGGAAAGCCATATTTGTAATAAACATTGTGTGACCTTGTGCTATCCGTGTTTAAATTATTACTCGCGTTTTGTACTTCAAACGGAAAACAACAACAACAACAAAAAAAAGAAAAAAAACTAACTGTTATTGTTTAAAAAAAAAAAAAAAAATAATAAGGGAAAAAAAATTTAAAACTTTTTACATTATTGTTTTGTTGTTAATATTATTATTATTATCATCATCATTTGATTATTTTTTTTTTTTTTATTTTCTCTTTTGTTTTTTTCTTTTTTTTTTTACACAAATCGCGAGTTTGATGATTTTCTTTCTGTTGCAGTACGGTTGCAGAACTGCTGCTTCTCCGAGTAACACAAACAGTAGCTCTAGTTCAAATACAGGCTCACAAAGCGGAACGCTGTCAACTAGTCTATCGAATAATGTGTCCAACACGACCACAAATTCCAATTCGTCTGAGCAATTGTCGAAGACTAATTTATACATACGTGGACTTAATCAAAACACAACCGACAAGGATTTGGTGTCACTTTGTTCTCAGTAAGTATGCGACAACGCTACAAGGTGGTGTTTCCACCCCCATCCACACCCTCACCTCCTTTTCCTGTTGGGAAAGTTGAAAGGAAAGGGAAAAAAGGAAAAACTAGAGAAAAAAAGTCCTTGATGAAAAAGAAAAGGCGCGCTGATATTGAAAAAAGAAAATTAACGGATACTCTGTGTGTTAAAATTTTTTTTTTTTTTTTTTTTTTTTTTAAAGCTCTTTTGTCCTCCTGGTTTTTCTTTTTTCTTTTTCTTTTTGTTACTATAAAATTTTATTTACTGATAAAACTCGGGTTGTTTCATTTAACTGTTTTTTTTCTTTTTTTTTTTTTTTTTTTTTTTTTTTTTGCAGTAAAATAAAAATATTTTATAGGTTTTAATAATTTTATTTACACGTGTGCGTGTGCGCGTGTGTGTGTGTGTGTGTAGATTGAAAATTAAAACGTTTCATGTTTTATCATTATTAATTATTATTATTATTATTATTATTATTTTTATATGCAAATTATTAATTGATTGTTTGATTTATTTATTTATTTTTTTCAGGTACGGAACCATAATTTCTACTAAAGCTATTTTGGATAAAACTACTAACAAATGCAAAGGTACGTTGAGTGTGAATGTGGGTGAGCAGAAGAAAAAAAATTTTTTTTTTTTTTAAAGGGTTGTTTTAAAAAAACATTAAAAAAATTATCACATTCAATCGCAAGAGGGGGGAGAGAGAGAGAGGGAGTGTTAAATCGGGGGGTAAATGAAAAATTTAAAAAAAAAAAATAATAATAATAATAATAATAATTTATTTCAATTTTTTTTTTTTTGTGTAGGTTACGGGTTTGTTGATTTCGAGAGCGTTCAAGCTGCCGAGGGGGCCGTGAGGGCCTTACAATCAAAAGGCATTCAAGCTCAAATGGCCAAAGTGGGTATCCCATTACATAGAAACGCGCCCAGTGTACGTTTGTGCTGCATGAGTAAACAGTACTCTTATTTAATTATTTCTATTAGTACTTTCTAGAAAAAAAAAAAAAAAAAAAAAAAAAAATTTCTTAGCTTTTCTGTTGTTATTTCTTTCTCTTTTTAAATATT